CACGAAAAATGACTACTAAAAACAAAAACACTAATATATCAGCAGAAATTTTTATATATGAGATGATGTAGAATGATTATTTTAATCTCATATATCATAAAACCAATTATAAGAAGCAGCTTGCCACACATTTACATAATAATGCTACATGAAATTTACAAAAAGTCAGGGTGGGAGCATTTTTTAGCAAACCTCACTAGAATGTGAAGCACTATCCAGAGCACTAGCATCTTTTTCCTCTTTAAGCTCCATTATTCCTTTGTCATTTTTCAACTCAACTACAGACGCTATCGTTTCAGACTGATTGCCATTTCCTGCATATGCATAAACAAATAAGACATGAAAAATATGGATTACTGTGAATTGTAACATAATGGTATTCAAATATTTGGTCAACACCTCCATCTTTTAAAGGCACGTCTATAGCAATTTCACTTGTCGATATCTCGTCATTCATCACATTGCTTGCATCACGAACTGAAACATCCTTCTCCTTTGTGTCCTGGAGTTTACGCTCTGTCTTTATTGAGCTTTCAATATTTCCTACACCATCATTCAGAAGAAGAAAAAAAAAAAAAATGCTGGTTTTATTCAGAACTTGTTTAGCGTCTCTTAATTATTTTGATTCATCGTCTTTTCACTAGCTTGCTCTTTCATTACTTACCTGTTGAAAATACGAGTCCAGATTTTTTATCATCATCTGTTTCGGTCCTCTTCGTGGCCGACTTTGAAGTCTTATTATTATTATTTCTTTTACCCTGTCTCCTCTTCCTCTTGGTTTCAGCTTCATTAGAAATGTTGCTTGCCTGTGAGTCTTTCTTGTTCTGGCTTATTGGTGTCCTCTCAAACTCAAGGCTAGTTTGCTCCAGCAGTTGTGCATTTTGATAATCTCCTTTATTTTCACCCATCACCTCATCATAATTAATATTTTGATCTTCCTCATTAGAAATAATGTTGCTTGCCTGTGAGAATTTCTTGTCCTGGCTCTCATTATCATCAACTGTTATTAATTGAGCTGCAACAGCAACACCATTGTTTGGGATTTCAATTGTTGTCATTTCAACAATCCTTTCTTCTTCTTCTTCTTCTTCTTCATCATCTTCTTCTGTATAATCATCATATTCATCGATAGCAATATTATAATCTCTTCCGAGAAGTCTGCTCATTAGCTCATCAGTGGCGGCATAACTGGCCAAGACAAGGCCGAAGGGAAGAGAAACGGCACAGCCCAAAGCAGACATAACAATTAAAGGAGGAACAACTACAGGTAATGATGACATCACAACACCTGCAATCACTACTTTCTTCCCTAACCTCAATATCATATTACCCCTAATTCCCTTATCATCATAAATATTATTATTACTCATCTCTTCATCATCATATTCCCACTCCTTCATCCCATTTTCTTCCATCTTCTATCCTCTTCCCTGCCAACCTACAAATAAATCTAATAATCAGTACATACAATATATATATATATATATATATATATATATATATATATATATAAAATACCTAAAATTGTGATGAACAACAATAATCATCAATTTTGTTCACCTCAACCATATATCCAAACTAAGTAAGAAACACACACACAATTTTTTTCGGATGAGATAAATTTTGATATCTAATACTAAGGCATGCACAATAAATATAGGTGGAAGATTTGAGTTGAGAGTTGGGGGAAAAGAATGGAAACCTTGGCCGATAGAAGAATTGTAAGAAGTTGGACTGAATACTTGGTTGTGCACTCAAATACTTTTTATCTTTAGTTGCTGCTTTGTACCTCTTTGATTGTAAATGCGGGTCGGGCGACCCGAAAATATTGTTTACGGTATATTTGTATCTCGAGAACCGAACCTACAGTGACACGCGTTGGAAAACGAAACGGGGAGTTTGCATGGAGATGCCAGGCGTCCTATTCCTTCTTCATTTTTCTGTAGGCCCGTAACATATTATATTCTTGAGAAATTTTTATATATACTACACGAAATTAAAAAAATTTCGTGATTACCATTCAATGATAAATAATTTGATATTTACCTAATAGACCAAAAATAATTATAGGATTGCTTAAATATCGGTTAGCTTTCATTCCACATCTTTTGCGTGATTTCCGCATAGTTACCAGGA